AACTTTGTGCTTAATCACAAACAAACAAATATATATATATATACAGATATATATAATGCTGATTAAATGAGTACCTACCAATTACATCACTCTAACACTATTTTGCTATTTGATTAAATTATATCCGAGCTTTTAGTTTCAGCAAAATAGAGTATATCTATAAAATATAAGAAACTAAACATTAGTCCTGAATAGAAGGTGATCAGGGTTTATATCTTTAGAACTAACATTGTTTCTTTTCATACTCTTTTAGGTTAAACTTCCGTAAAAAACAAATAAAAAACAACTTGGTAGTTTTGACGTATAAAAAAATTAAGACTACAAATATTGACAACTAAAATACATTATACGAAGAAATATAAACTTAATTGTTTGAACAAGATTTAAAAACTGTTCCTTAAATAATTGGGCCAAACAAGTAATTACACAGAGCTGAAGAGTAATAAATGACTAGACACATTTAACTAAAGAAGAAAAGTATTACATTATTATAATACAAAAATAATATATTTCTATTAATATACATAACTATAGCAAAATATCTTACCTTTTATTTTAAACCTTTCATCTTCTAGAATTTACTAAATACAGAATAAAATAGAAGCCTAGAACAAAAACTGCCCTTTAATTAATAATAATTGTTTTTCTTCTGAATACCTTAACTTCATACACTACAGAACTTTAACATGAAACACCTGCATTTATGAAAGATACAACATCTTGTCTACTTAAAAACGTCATTGAAGACAACCTTAGTTTGTTTAACTATCTTTCACACATTAACTTACACGAACAAAACTCGGTTAACAGAATGTTTAAATACATCACAGACACCACGAACTTCACTTGTGAGAAAGGAACAGGACAAGATGTTTTTAAAGCGAATCTCTCTGTTAATTGTCATGCTTGTTGTCAATTATTATGAAAATATATCACAATCAAATATTTGGTTAAATTACTCGTCAATGTCTAAAAAGTAAAAAGATCCAGATTAAACTAAATAAGAACAAGGAACGGTAAAAATTTTCTGATAGCCCAATTTTTTGTATCTTTACATTTTCGCGTTTTATGCATTATAAAAAAGCTAAAATAAAAGACATTATACTGCAATAGTTAATACATTGCGTAGGACATTCTAAAGAATAACTGCATTTGCAAATAACCTAAAAAGGACAAGTAAATGCGAATAACTTATTTTTTATGTTTAAAACTCTCCTTTACTTGATAAGTTCGTACCTGTTCGTAATCTTCCAAACCGTGTTTCTGTTTATTTTTTAAGGTTCGTTTCATCAGAAAAATGGCTAAGAAGGAAAAGAAAGAGGAAAATATTAATAAATAAGTGTATACTACAAACAAATGAAACTATTTAATGTTAGAAAATTTTTCTTAGGACTGTACATAAATAATACTAGTTGATTTTATTGTTATGCATGCAGTTAAATTTGCAAAAAAAAAAGTTTCTAAAAAAAGTAGAGCTTTTTTCTCTGTCTATGAAACACATACGATGGATATCAGTGATCAATGTTGCTATATTTCTAGTGCTTAGAGCCCAAAGTTACTTCAAAATGTCCCCCATACTAGCCCAATTTTTCCTAACTGAGACCAAGTATCAGTCAGTGAATAATTTTATTCTGATTCCTGTACATAGGCATACATGGTACTTATTACGAAATCAGAATTTTCTTTAGACTCGAATACTTCTTCGTTCATTTCAGATAAAAAATAACTCAAAGTTTCATTGTTCAAACTGTATTATTACATTACAAAATGGGCCCGTCACGGTCAGGTGGTTAGGGCGCTTGACTCGCAATCTGAAGGTTGTGGATAGCCCTCGTGTAGCTTTCACGAAATTCAAAACCATACCATTACAAAATAATCTTTAATTTCTTCCTTCACCTTTTCCCCCAACCAACTTATTCATTTGCAGATAATACAGCACCTGCAACACTTGGGAGGATTTTTTTTTTCTCGAAGGCTATACAGTTGGTTCTAAGACTTCATGGTATCCTCCTCCTTGAGAAGTAAGGATCATTTCCAGTTTATTTTGTCTTACCATTTTCAACACCACATGTTTCCAAGTAGGACATGTATCAATTCAAAAATTTTATACCCAGTCAAGTAGAATTTATGGTCACTTCCACGTGCTAGCTGGAGACCTTGAGTTTTTGTCCTCTTCAGATGTATGGTTCTGTATTTAATTACTTCTCTCTTTTTAATTGCTACACTAATGATATTTGTTACAATCGTAGCACTATTTGCGTTTATAGCCCTTTTAAACGTTTTCTCAATGCTTAGATCTAGATGCATTTTTGAAGGTTTAAAGACGAAGCCATAAGCATTATTGTGTTATTTTATTGGTACACATTTTTAATAGAAAGGAAATTTTTGTATAGTTGAAGCCCAACAACTATCAATTGTCTAAGAGTAAGAGTTTGAGAACTCTCAAACCACTTCAACGAGTCATGATCAACCAACATTTTGAATAACATAGTAACATGTTAGCATAAGCTACTACAATTTCTCATCCTAAACAGAAATGCTTAAGAGCCTTCCTACCTACAGTACGCCAGCACATATTAAATAATCTATAAAAGTGAATGGGGCCTCCCCTGGAAAATGAGAAAATTATTTCTGTATTCATTCAGCATATATACATATATATATCAATGTTTCATTCAATTCACAATTTCACACTACTTTGTCCCCCCTAGAAAACTCTGCCCCTCCCTGGAAAACTTTCTGCGGATGCCCATGTTTAGAGGGGTATTTTTAAGTGACTGTTCTCAAGATATACTAGCCAGTATATTGCAGCTAATTCAAAGAGAAAAGATACTGTGAAATCTCCTACAAGTTATCACATGTCAGGCTTATTTCCTAAAATCCACACAAAAATCCTGAAACACCCTGTTTCTCCCTCATTTAGAACACTGGAGTTAAATAAGCTATGTGTTAGGGTTGAATAATTCTTTTTTGAAATATCTTGACAACAGGGGGTTGGTTAAAAACGTACATTGTGTTAGAAAGGTGTTACGCCAAATTAATTCATACCACACGTTAATTTGTGTTCATGTATAAGCACTCAACCAAAACCTAGTAAAGTTTCTGTTCCCCCTTTCCTTTCAGAATTGGGTGTTCTGTATCAATGTACATGCTCTGATTAGTCTCTCATATCTGTATATGATGTCATATTGGAAATCACACTATTAGTTCCTGCTGTGAAGTGTCCCATATCTACAACTTAAAAGTAAAAGTAAGCCAAACTAGTTATTAAATTGGAATAAGCTAAAAAGTTGAGTTTTTAGGATTTAGAGCCAATTCCAGATTATCAATTACAAGGCTATATTCTCAACTACACTCACGACACAAACATTTTACAACACCACACGATACTAACAAGTAATTCAACTTCCATTTCAACATAGCGAGTCTGAATTCCTTCTTTATCTAAGCACTTTACTTTACTTGTTACAGATTCGAAATGGTTAGCCCAAATCCACCTACACTCTATTCCTTGTTCTAAGTTATTTTTTTCTTTGGCAAATTCCTATAGTAAAGAGAAATGATATACTTCGATGCTAATCTTTACGTCTAGTTCTTAATTCTCTGACCATTAGAAAGTTGGACTTTCAATTATCCATCAGTGACATAGATAAAGAGTGTCTGAAAGGTCTCTGTGATTCGGATATGTTTTCTATCATATGAATAATTCAATAAACTTTCGTACTCGAAACATTAGGCTCATTAGACGTCAGACAAGATAGAAAAAGTATCACAAAGAAAACAACACATCACGAACTAGTTAAAAACATACTCGACATATACAACTCCTTCAAATAACTACCGACATATATAAGTACCCAAATAAATTAGTAAATAATTTACTTTACAATATTTGTAAATTGAAACATTTGTTTACTGAAGGGATCTGAATTACTACAATGGTTTTACAATGTTGGTGATATTTCTCAAGAGTGAGCATATTTGTCTTTCGAACAATAAGAGAAATCCAGCTGAGAGAGTGTTAATTATAAACTTGATTAAATTATATATATTTTTTTTTACACAATGAATTTGTTCCCCAGTGGCTCAGCGATAATCTTGAAGGCTTATAATGCTAGAATTCGGGGTTCAATTCCGACGGCGAACACAACGCAGACAGCCCATTGTAACACTTTGTGCTAAAAATGTAAACAAAGTAGGTTTCTTTTGGACAATCTATTTGCTAGAAACTATAAGTTAACTGAGTGGGTATATGAATGTTTACCGAATTCCTTTTGAAAGAGTCGAAAACATCTGTTACACGATAACATGTGTGCTGTAAAGGTAGAGTGCTAACTGCACTCCACAACTTGAAAATGGTACGTTTAATTATTTGAACATAAAAACTGTGAACTCACAATGTTGTAAGATATAATCATTTCATTTATATATATAAAATTCTATTGGTTAGTTTTGCAATAAATGGAATCTTTAATATGTCTCCAAAACACTAGTATTATATGTTTTTCGAATTACAAGAAACAGCCAAGTTTTATAAGTACCTTTCAAACATATCATATTCATCTGCTTTTTTGTAAGTGTTTCCAAGAAAAAAAAGCAACACTTACCGTAATCAGTATTATCTGGTTGGTGATTGGAAGGCCAGAAGTATGGCGTCTGCAAGACAAATACATTATGTAAGCATGACTTGGGAGCACAAAGCTGAATTTAATCAAGCATAAATATATGGACGAAAAACTAACAATAACTTAAAACTCAGAACTTAGTGTAGTAAGTATAGAAAAACCTAATAGAAATACTTTCCTGGATTTTTGTGAAAAACCTGGAGAATTCCAGAGAATAGTCATTGGTATTAATGAAACGGAAATAGAGTAGAAGGGTTAGATCCATTGTATTAAAACTGAAAACATCAGAGGCTTATCACTGATAGAACTACTGTTTTACTTATGTTGGATCCTCGATGATCTCAGCAGACATTTACCAAAAACTTTTTAGATCATACCATATACACAAACATGATGTAACATGGTTTACGGTATCTAGCATAGTATTCGGTTATTGGGGTGGGTGGGAGGAGGCACAAAAAGTTCACTAGTTGTCAAAGCTATTTGGGCGAAGGTATAAAACATAATATTACAGTAATTAGTATGTATTTATTGGGTCTTAACTACCTTCCAGAACCTTCTCACCTTCTGCATGTAAAGTACTTTGCTGCAAAAATAATTTTAACATTAACCTTTGACTCCATTAAGCCACGAATGTGAAGGTAAACCATTGTTATAAAATAGATTCACAATTAACATTACTGGTGTTTGAGGTCAGATGCACGATGTGCCACCGTGTTACTATTACCAGTTAGGCAGCTTATACCAGTATTTGAAGACAGATATACTGTGTATTACTGTACCACCATTACGAATTCTGCACTTTATAACAGTGTTTTGGGATGTACCATCAACTACTGCATAATCTTTACCGTGTGTATGTTGTTTGTAGCGGCTTTTGAAGCCATGTGTACCATTTGTCAGTTACAAAGTTAGTAACGGTATTTGAGGTTACATGGCCATGGTTCTGATCTGGATGTATTTAGCTACAGTAGATATTAATACAAAAAAATGCCTATTAGAATCGAGATATTTCCTATAGGTTTAGATCCTGGCAGTGTTTGTTAGCTGTAACAAATAAATGGCACAAAATTCCTCGTCACATTGTGTATCTCCTTGTTATTTAAATGTTCTAGTCCGTTGAATGTTACGAAAGTTTTGTTTCTTTTAGGAATTCCGATTGTTCGTGTTTGTTCTAGTCACGTTATTATTACATTTGATAATATGGCTCTGGTTGACTTTCTTGTTTTGTCCTGAAACGTAGTAAAATTCTTGAGATATTTTTTGCTGTTTCTAGTGAAAATACTACAGTGTCAGAGTCATCTGTCGTTTTAATACCGAACCAACGCTAAATAGTAATATAATAAAACCTATACTGAGAGAAAACATCACAAATACTTTCCTTCTTAAAAAAAAGTGCGAAGATTGTCTTTTAACTACGTATTTTGCCCCCAGTGGCATAGCGGTATGTCTGCGGACTTACAACGCTAGAAACCGGGTTTCGATACCCGTGGTGGACAGAGCACAGATGGCCCATTGTGTAGCTTTGTGCTTAACTTCAAAACAACAACAACAACTACGTATTTAGAACGTAATAAAGACAGTGAACGTTTAGCAACATGCATCTATACTACTTCGTAACTACATAGAAGACATGCCTGCTGATAGCTTAAAATTCAACGTAATTACCAGAATTTTTCTGTAGTCCAGAATCACTAATAACTAAGTATATTTCAACGCAACGTAACTTAAAGAAAATGAAAAGTTTTTCAGGGCAGCAATACAAAAAGAAGGAAGAATCACACCGTGGACTTTCATTCAGTAATTCTCATGATAATGTAATAATAGAAAAATTGTATTTAAGACTTTGCAATTCGAACGTTTACAAAAGATGCACGGTGTTTGCAACAAAAACTGAATCATGGGTGTACAACTACCTCATTATACTGCTAATAAGGGAACAAAATGTAAAAATTAAGTAAAGTATATCTAGTAAAATCTTGGGGTTAAAATTTATACTTTGTATTAAAAAACTCATTACTTTAATAGAAAATAATGTTTATATTTGTAGGAAATAAAACAATTTCCTTTTGTGAAATAACATTGGACTTGTTATGCAGTTTGTAGTGGTGAACGTTTTGTGAATATTCGATTGATCGTAGTAAAAACATTTAGGTAATACGTTGTTAACCACTAATACGCTAAACATCATGTAATATCGTTATGGATTTAAGAAGAGAGATTTTTGTTATGATCAATTTAAACCCACGGATTAAATGTAATGATATATTGTTTATATGCAAATTATGAAGCTATCGTGGTTTAGACGCAAACGTTAAGAAAGAAATACGCATCCTCGTTATAAACACTGTATCTGAAATTGTCAACAGAACAACTGAAGGTTTACATAAGTTAAATTTGACGCTAGAAGATGACACTATAAAAACAGAAAATAATGCAGTTAATATCCACATCATCTGAGCTCACTCACTAGCAACATAATTTCTATGGTAACTGATAAAAAAAGGAAATAAATTGATTCTATTAGAAACTAAGGAAATGTATGCTGGACAATAAATCCCTTCAGAGGAAATAATAGGACAGTACACAAAAATAATGGTGTATCAGCAAGAAAAATAGTAAACACACACAGTTGAAAAATTCAAGACGTATATTTTATCTCTATCATTATCAGAATAATGTTTTATTTAGTAAATATATATCGTCTTATAGTGATTGCGAGTGGTCCAACCGTGTAAACAAGTTACTTTATTGAATCCTTTTTATATATATTAAAATAACTTTGGAACTTTTGTTTACTAGATGTTATACATTCTCAAATTAAAATTTTATAAATTATCCTAAAATTTTACTTAAATCTTGGGTTACTAATGCTAATATAATGTTAAAAACAAAACTGTATTAATAAAAATACCAAAAAGTTCCAATTTGTACTTACTCTTTTCTTTTATGGAAATGAAGAAGTTTTATCTTTAAAAGACATGTTAAAATTACATCTGTAAAATAACCAAAACGGAAAACGCTATAATAATAAAGAGTAATCCTATTGATATAGGTTAAATATACTCTGAATTTTCAACCTCACCTGAAACCTGTAGAGGGTGCTGTCGTCTTTCAACGCAAATTTTGTATCGTTAACGGGAAAGAAATATCCATGTTGGCAGAGAATGTTAGCTATGTGGATGGCTTCGGCTAGCAAATTATGAGAACACGTATTAATTCACAAATCAAGAGTAAAATAAGCCTGTTTATATATATATATATAAGCATTCCAAGTGTAAAAGTAAAAAAGTAATTTTACATAAGTATTTGTTCATTATTTGTAAACACGTTATAATTACTTTTAAGAAAGGGGACTTATTTGGTTGTCGCAGAAAATAAAAGGAATCATTGAAATAACCTCACAAAGACAGCTGACACTGTGGGGAACCAGAAATGTAACGTACTAATAATCAACTTCTTATATGTAATTTGAAGGTTTTTACTTGCATTTTAAACTTTTAAAAGTAATGGAATCTATAATTTAAAACTAGAACTTTATAGCAATGACAAATAACTTGAAACACACGTCGTTTAATGACACAAAGTAACTATATAAACAGTTTGTTCCTTTAATGACATGAGTAACGACATAGCTTAATGTATGTCCTTTAAATAACACTAAGTAATAATATAAAATGTAATATGATATATTATATTATTAAATATAATGTATAATAATATAACATATAGGCTTAAAATTTCTTATAATAATTTAGCTGCAAATGCTTCGTTTCTCATATTCTTCGTAATTTATCTATTTCAGACTTCAAATCAGAAGCTTGTCGAAATAGCATTTCAAATCTATCTTGTCTTTCACAATTTCACAAGTCACTGCCCAACAGGCCTTTCGTCAGTACGAGAACTCATCAAACGGGCTGTACGATGAGCGACAAAACATTTGGTGAAGCGTTATTTATATATAGAGTACAATACATTAACATTTTTGGTGAAGTATTTGAAACCAATAGCCCGAAAATGTGTGATAAAAATCACATTAACTGGAAATAGTCTATTTTGAATTCAAAATCCCAAACAAAATAAATAAATATTTCTCTACAAAGAGGTAACTATGTTCAATAAATCTAATTTTTCCCCTCTTAACAGTTAAATGCCATTCGTCTCATAAGCTATCGAATAGTGACAATCTTGAAAATTTAGGCTAAAATTTAGAAGTCACGACAAACCTAAGCTGGATGTTTTTAAAAGACTATAAGAAAGTAAAACTATTAATATCAATAAATATAACTAAAATGTTACGTTACTTGTATGTATGCTCGATAGAATACTTCAATATTTCTACAAATTCATTTAACACTATAATACCCTATATACTTATCGGACGAGTTCAAGACACACGAATCTCTGAGTCTAAAGCTTAAGTCTCACCTATGTCTTCGATGTCTAGTCTGTCCATCAACCATTCCACAAGATCGTATCCTGTAAAAAAAGGGAGTACATCAGGAGAGTGTCTAAATTAACAAAGACACAATTGGATTAAACTCTAAACGTTTGAAAATAAAATTAGATATGTATGTTTTTATAAATATACTGTATTACTTCTGTAAGCGAAAAAGGATTAACGTCTTTTGATTTGGGCATCAGTTGAGGGTTATCCTAATAGGGTAGACTTAAGTGATGAGCAGATTCTATGTCGGAAAGCGGACTTGGAGTTGTCTTCGACCGACAACTTAATTCATTTGGGGGGGGGGGGAGTAAATGTTATTTTTGTTGACATATAGAAAGATTATCTACAAGGTTTTGTTTGTTTTTAGACACACATCTATACAACGGGCTATCTGTGCTCTGTCCAACGTGGATATGGGAACCCGATTTTTAGCGTTATAAGCCAGAAGACTTACCGTTAATCATTGTGAAGGGGCGACTTACAAGGTAAAGCAGATTCAGTATGTCTTTTTGAATAATTATTTCTTCGTTGGACACCAAATAAGAACGTTATTTTATTTTAAAGGGCTTATAACCAATGTTATTGATATCATGAATGTGTAAAATTGAAGAAGACAAGGATAAAAATAAGTACTTGTTCTATTCAAGATAAAGGAACAACAACAACAACAATTTAAAGTTATGTTTTATAAAAACAACTATTTGTCAATAAAACCAGTTTAGGAGTAAGTTTTAATAGTTAACGAGTCCTATCAGCCATATATTTAATGTCTACATGCCCGTTATTAGTGACTTTCGGTTGCTTTTCGTTCTTCATTAAAAGGTTATTCTAATATTTCAGTTTCTTCTAAAAGTATCTAAATTCCATGTATAAAGTTCAAGATTACTTCAAACGACCCCCAGGTTCTTCAGATATAATCGGCGTCTTTCTTTACCTTGAACTTATTTATTTTAAACAAGTTACGTCATGTGGTTATACTGTAACCATATTTAAATCACTACCTTGCAAATGTCAAATCAGAATGGAAAATTGCGAGGAAATGGTAAATATTCCTGCAAAGTGATTAAACAGAATGGACAAATTCAGTAGAACACATTGTAGTGCTGAGGATCCAACATAAAATCATATTTCATTGAAGGATATACGCTCCTGGACTACTTTGCTGAATGCTGCAAATATAAGAAAATATGAATAGATTTTAGCAATAGCTTCTCACGCTTCACAATTTGGCTTTGAATTTGTAGTAATAAGTATCGGAAATACAGATGTTTTCCTGTTGTGTCTTGTATTATTTCTGTATCTGTTTACCTGAACAGAACCGTACACGTTAAGTTAATATCAGAACTCTTGAAAATGCTCATGGAAGTGAAGCCTGTAAAGCTTTACTAAAAATGTAAGCACTTACAGGATATGACACTGTAAGTGCTTTCGCTGGTCGAGAAAAATCGCAAACACTGAAACTTCTTAAAGCTTCTGCCGAATATTAAAGAGTATTTCAACAATTAAGACATAAATAAAAAGATTCATGTTTGTTTGCAAAACTACAGAGTTACATTTGCAACATGTATAGTTTTAACACGTGTAGCATAACTGATGTATATGCGTTGAAAGATATTTTGTTGAAAATAAAGGGGAGAGATGGATTCATACACTTGATTCTTTGTGTTTATAGTCTTTGTAAACATCAGGCTGCCATCTGGAATAAATGTTTAGAACAACTTCTAGATCATCCGTCTCGTGATAGCCACGTAATTCAAATAAAAGAGGGCACTTTTGTCCGCTCCATATTAATTTATATTAGTTCAAACAAATCATAAAATAAAATAAAAATCCAAACTTATTTCAGATGGCTTTATTCTAGTTAAATCATTAAACATCTTCTTGATGTTGAAACACATGAATAATAGAATATCACACTAAGAAACAACGTAAACATTAATTAATCATGATGGGGAAGTAAAAGATTCACTACACAAAATGATTTTACGCAGGAAACATCTAATCAATCGCGTGCTCTTCCGAAGCAAACAATTCAATTCTTCTTATTCCCTAGATCAAGGCGTATTTTACTGTAAACGTGCGATAAATAATAAATTATAAACTTTGGAAAGAAAAGTGCTCAAGAATAACTGGGAATAGAATACTTAATGCAATGTAAACGATAGTTTAAGAATTGTTTTACGTGTAATGGTATACTTAATGCAATGTAAACGATAGTTTAAAAATTGTTTTACGTGTAATTGTATAGGTTGGTATACTATTATCATCTGGATTGGTACTAACAGTTTGGTATACCATTATCATCTGAAATGTTGCTAACATGTTCCATATTGTTGATCTTCATGCTGGAAAAGCTTGATATATTATGGAGTCTTTCACATAAAAACACTATAAACACTATTGAACTATGATTTACATTGCATTAAATTGTTAGTGGTGATCCAGATGATAATAGTATACCAACCTGTTAGTGACGATCCAGATGATAGTGGTATACTAACTTGTTAGTGACGATCCAGGTGATAATGGTATACTAACTTGTTAATGGCGATCCAGATGATAATGGTATACTAACCTGTTAGTGGCGATCCAGATGATACTGGCATGCTAACCTGTTAGTGGAGGTCCAGATGATAATGGCATGCTAACCCGTTAGTGGCGATCTAGATGGTAATGGTATACTAAGTTGTTATTGGCGATCCAGATGATAATGGTATACTAACTTGTTAGTGACGATCCAGATGATAATGGTATACTAACTTGTTAGTGACGATCCAGATGATAATGGTATACTAACTTGTTAGTGGCGATCCAGATGATACTGGCATGCTAACCTGTTAGTGGAGGTCCAGATGATAATGGCATGCTAACCCGTTAGTGGCGATCTAGATGGTAATGGTATACTAAGTTGTTATTGGCGATCCAGATGATAATGGCATGATAACCTGTTAGTGGTGATCCAGATGATAATGGTATGATAACCTGTTAATGGCGATCCAGATGGTAATGGTATGATAACCCGTTAGTGGCGATCCAGATGATACTGGCATAATAACCCGTTAGTGGCGATCCAGATGATAGTGGTATACTAACTTGTTAGTGTTGATCCAGATGATAATGGCATGATAACCTGTTAGTGGTGATCCAGATGATAATGGTATGATTACCTGTTAGTGGTGATCCAGATGATAATGGCATGATAACCCGTTAGTGGCGATCCAGATGATAATGGTATACTAACTTGTTAGTGGCGATCCAGATGACAATGGTACACTAACCTGTTAGTGGCGATCCATATTATAATGGCATATTAACCCGTTAGTGGCGATCCATGTGATAATGGTATACTAACTTGTTTGTGGTGATCCAGATGATAATGGTATGATGACCTGTCAACAAGTTAGTATACCATTATCATCTGGATCGCCAATAACAACTTAGTATACAATTATCTTCTGGATCGCCACTAACGGGTTAGCATGCCATTATCATCTGGACCTCCACTAACGGGTTAGTATGTCTTTATCATCTGGATCACCACTAACAGGTTATCATACCATTATCATCTGGATCACCACTAACAAGTTAGTATACCATTACCATCTGGATCGCCAATGACAAGTTAGTATACCAGTATCATTTGGATCGGCACTGATAAGTTAGTATACCAGTATCATCTGGATCGCCACTGACAAGTTAGTATACCAGTATCATCTGGATCGCCACTAATGGCGATCCAGATGATAATGGTATACTAAGTTGTTATTGGCGATCCAGATGATAATGGTATAATAACTTGTTTGTGGTGATCCAGATGATAATGGCATATTAACCCGTTAGTGGTGATCCAGATGATAATGGTATAATAACTTGTTTGTGGTGATCCAGATGATAATGGCATATTAACCCGTTAGTGGAGGTCCAGATGATAGTGGTATACTAACCTGTTAGTGGCGATACAGATGATAGTGGTATACTAACCTATTAGTGGCGATCCAGATGATAATGATACGCTAACATGTTAGTGGCGATCCAGATGATAATGGTATACTAACATGTTAGTGGCGATCCAGATGATAATGGTATACTAACATATTAGTGGCGATCCAGATGATAATGATACGCTAACATGTTAGTGGCGATCCAGATGATAATGGTATACTAACCTGTTAGTGGTGATCTAGATGATAATGGTATCTTCGGTACAAGTCAAAGTAACGGGAATAACGACAACTCTCAAGGCCATAATTTATCGATGAGGGAAAGATGCGAAGTTTGAACAAGCAAACTATTATTACGAAATATTTCTTCTGAGCTCAAAGGTAATGATAAAGAAAAAAAATATCACACCTTATAATATATCATATGCATCATTAACTTCTGATCAAAGCAAGATACCGACATAGATCAGAACAAACAACACATCTAGTAATGAGCATAGCCAATTAAATATACTGTTCAACTTATCTTAATTATCATGATTAGGATGAATTCTTTCATCAGGTGGGTACCCTCGCTGTTAACGATATTTCGTGTATATTATTTGGAGATATTTAAAAAGATAGCGAGAAAAACAATTCCTCCGTCTAGCTATCAATTATCCACAAATACGTGAGCATCACCGTGTAATTCAAACAATAAATATATCCACAGCCACTTATTTCTAATGACAGTGACATTTACTATACTGTTGTAGTGTGAAGAGGATGATAAGTTCTCCTATCTTGACAAGTGACATTATGCGTTACTAGCCAACGTCACGAAACGAGACACCCACCAATGATGTTTATCAGACTGAACTTTCTTTTCTTTACAAATACCTTTAAATGTCAATTTTGTTAGCCTGATGAAGGTCTTTTACTTGAACAACCAAGAAAATCTTCGCAAGTAATTCGGTTCTGTAATAAAACAAACTCACGTCTGTTTTCACAAATTATATAACTGTCCATGTTTGATTACAATTAGTAAAAAAACTAACTAAGTAAAACCAATAACTCGTTATGTCCAAGCTATATGAAAGATGTCTGTGTTTAATAAACTGAGAAAGAATTTTAGGTTGGTTTAGTAAGCGAGTGGTCACACTTCAATGTAATGATCACGGTATAATTTGCTGAGGTTTTAAGCAGAATGACGTCATAAAGAATTCAATGTAATGAGGTTTAAGATCACGGCATAATTTGCTGAGGTTTTAAGCAGAATGACGTCACAAAGAATTAAATAATATACAGATCGATAAACATACCCATAAAGGCACATGGAATGGATGTGAGGAACAACTTCTGACTCCTCACCGGAACTCCCGTTTCCGGATTTTGCATCTCTCTGATCAGCCTCTCCATCTAGTGTCAAAATCAAAATAAATAAATATAGATATTACAAATTGCGCATATTTTCATTCACTCGGTTACACATACAAATAAAGCAAGATATGCAACCACCAAAAGATAAATTATTCAACTGTGAATAGTCTAATTAATTTGCTGTATCTTGAGAATAAAAGGTGACTTAATTTCAATGTTTGCACAGCACAAGGGAAGACGCCTCGTGCTGGAACACTAGTCATGAGTTCACTAATCACTTTCATGACGCAATTGTTTTATGCGTGTTTTAAGTTGAAATTTTAAGTAAATTACCACAATGCACTTTTAGTTTTTTCACTGATTATATTTCTTTCATTAGACATTTTATACCAAACTGAACATTTTGACAATTAAAATAGTTGTGGCGAGGTGCAAAGCTGTTTATTTCGTTTTTATTGTTTAAAGTTAAGCACAAAGCTACACAATGGGCTGGCTATCTGTGCTCTGCCCACCACGGATATCGAAACCCGGATTCTAGCGTTGTAAGTCAGCAGACATACCGCTGTGCCACTGTTTAAACCTGTTTACACGTAAGTAGTGAATAAACTTACACTATGGAAAGTAGCAGCAAGTATTACGATCAACAAACTGTATTGGCAATGTGACCAATTTACTACCACAGGTTATAACATGTAATGTTGTTTACAATATTTCATTCTCTTCTTCACTGTGTACAACAATCATTTCGTTGTCCAAAATAATTATTGTTATCGAACAAGAGCACTTGAAAGGCGCTCACGCAATTGTTGAAAATTATTCCACAAAGAAAAACGGATGAAGAAGGCTACGTACAATGACGTCAAGTAATGAAGTAATATATTAAAATAAGAACGTGGGTATATCACAAGTATAACTTATAGTGAAAATAAACTTGAGGCCCAATCGAGCTGTCGATTCACTACTTCTCACTGAGTTATACCGGTTTCGGGGAATTCCATCTTCTCTCCGTAATCATTGACATGGGAAATCGAAAGAACAGGAATTGGCTTCTTATAGTTTGTTTTTAACTGAATTTGTTGGAAGGCAGTTAATCAACACCGCCGACAACCAACTATTGCCACACCCAATAATATAGATGTACTTCCGCAGGGTCCCTGCGGAAAAGTGTTCTTTTTCAAGAGTAAATAAAACCAAAATTAAGAGTAACAAATATTTTTATTTCATTTTTTTTGAAGTTCATATGTTATGCCGTGTTGTACTCTACAGAGTGTATAATTATTCTCGTGATTCATGGCATGCGCAAATTTTACTGACGTCACGACATTACAAATACGGGGAAGTTATATGACTTCACTCTTTTAACACATTCACTCCCCTAAAAGTGCGACTTCCTTTGGTGGCAACTGTGTGCGAACCTCGGTCACTCAGATGTACAATCTACCAAGTTACTCAATGGTTTGTGTTCAGTCGCTTCTTATAGCGGTAGTGTACATATTACTTATATGATGTTTTTAGTTGTCTTTTACTAATCACAGGGAACCTATATTTATATTGGATTTGAAAAATATGTATTAGTGATACTACTAACTTATTCTGCAGAATTATTCAACAGCTAGGTTCTTTTAAATATCAAACAAACAAAACTGTTTGCTGAGTAATCCTAATACTCGCCTAAAATAAATACTCTCCTCTTTTCGCCTAAAATAAAAACATTATGGGCAATATTCCCTAAAATCATTTATTAAATCATGTTTAAGGTTTACATTGTTTGGTTGTTGTAGAACAAAGCCACACTTGTTTGTGTGTGTGTGTGTGTCCACTGCGAGGAGTTGAACCACATATTTTAGCGTTGTAAGTCCGTAAACTTATCGCTGTTTCATAGGGAGACTCGAGTCTTCATGTTCTAATATTTATGATTTGTATTCCAGTGATCTTTATTTAAAAACATAGATCCCCGATTGTCGATTAAATTTTCCCGTGTAATTACCTCCACCGAAGGTGACGGAGGTTATGCTTTCACCCCTGTGGGTGTGAGTGTGTTTGTCAGCAGAATTTCTCGAAAATGGCTGAACGAATGTGGACGAAAGTTGGTATTTATTTGGACTATGACCCAACTTAGAAGTGGTGAGTTTTTGGGTGGTCAAGGTAACAGGAAGGTCACAAAAATCCGTATATATTAACATGGGCACCGATTTTTAACATTATTTTTGCTCTAGAACTCATTCAAAAATGACCAGATTTTGATGAAACTTGGTGGACATATGTAGAATATTATTCTTCATTGTCCTGCCAAAAATGGTCAGGAATCGGTTCTGCAATGCACTCGTCAATACTGAAACATTACAAGTTTTAAAATACAGTATGAATTATTTTCAGAATGTGTTTGCGTTTCAGCACCGACACTTTTTATTGATTTTAATACTATTAACTTGGTTAAATGAGTCGATTTTCGAGGTTTTAAAAAATGTTACATGTATAGATATGTATAATTTTAGAGTATCTATATCTTACTTAACTGTGGTATTGGACTGTGTGAAATAGCATTACTTAAACAACCGCTGGCACGTAATGTTTTTGTTTTTCGTTTTGCTTGTTTGTTTTCTCACAAATACATATAAAAGTCTTTGCAAACCAACAGTTGTTTTTATAGTTGACTGATTGCATTTAACTCCGGTTAAAGCAGCTGTTACTGGTTAACATTCGCCTCATTACATCGTCACACATTCAACATTCTATCGTCCTCGTGAAGTAGTGTTTGTTTGTTTATTCTTTTTTATTTTTACATATTCTGAATTATTTTAATATGCTTATGAGTTAATTATAGAAATGTTAACTCTTTTAACTTCAGACGCTACAATGATAACTTCAAAAGGTGACTGTAATGAAATTAAAAGAGTAATTTTGTTTGTTTGTTTGTTTTGAATTTCGCGCAAAGCTACACGAGGGCTATCTGCGCTAGCCGTCCCTAATTTTGGAGTGTAAGACTAGAGGGAAGGCAGCTAGTCATCACCACCCACCGCCAACTCTTGGGCTACACTTTTACCAACGAATAGTGGGATTGACCGTCACATTATAACGCCTCCACGGCTGAAAGGGCGAGCATGTTTGGTGTGACGGGGATTCGAACCCGAAAAAAGGATTAAGTAGTAAGTAATGAACTATTGAGAAGAAAGAAAATTCCGTAATGTCAAGTCCGGAAGTACTTCAAATGTAACAAAAATCAATCTTCTAGAGATTCTAGTCCTAGAGGTTAAAATATTTAGGCCTATATGAGTTACTCAATTACTTGATAATTAGAACTGAAAGATATAACGACAAGTTGGTGTTAAAAACAATACGGTTTACGGAAAATAAATGCTTAGTTCAACTAAATATTGTTACGTCTCTGGTCGTTAGTTCATTCCCCGTATAATTTCTTTCCGATGAAACTTTAGCGACACAAGTCCTTTCTTAAATAAAACTAGTTTATTCTTTCTCAATACAACTTTGAAATTCACTTAATTTCCACGGTCACGCTATTAGTTAAACAAACGCTATAATTCACAACGAACGACTCACGCGCTCGACCCAACTGTCCGTCTCTATCTCTGTCTGCAATTCAATTACCTTCCATTGTTGCCGTCAGTTCTTGGCGGTCTTATATTCAAGAATACCTCTCAAGAATTCAGGAAGGGACATGAACGTTCTAGAAGCGCATGACGTGTTACTACCGTCATGTGACCTCCTCTGTCATAACACTGCCCCTTCCTTAGTATTGTTGGTCACGAACAATAGCCACCTACAGTAAACCAATAAACAATTAACAATAACTTAATTAAATGTACAGAATTTATAAACACAAAATTAAAATTCAACAAAGACTCTTAATTTTACGGGACGTATCTTCTTCCGTACTGGTCTCCATCTCGTTGGCTTCTGCTTCATGTGGGGCTCATCTGCTTCATCAGG